AGACATGTGCTGTTAAGATTGAGAAACCGTAATTTTAATACTTCTACAGTAATAAATATGCAAAGCAGAGGAGATATAGCTTCAATAGTGTGCCTTTGAGTATGTCTTGGTGTCTTCAGAATATCTGGAATCCGCAAGTAGTGCGTTATAGATGACAATACATTTTTCCCACAACAGGTTGAAAAGGTGTTATGTATTCAGCATTTGGATTTAATTATAGCATGTCTTTCTGTGCAGAAAAGCATAGGTTATATTCTGAGGTATATGGCTGCAGAGAGCATATGGGTACTGGTTCTGTGTGGACCAGTCCAAGTCCAGCATGGCTCACACCAAATCAGAGCTCAGCTGTTGGCTGTGCTATTGGACTGTTGGTGTCTCTGTGCTGTGCTTCTCAGCAGTCTTACTAGCTTGGCTGCACTGTGTGCTGCTTGGCAGTCTTACTTGGTTGGCTCTGTGTTTTCAGGATACGCAGCACCAAACAGATGAATCCTCTCCTGACCTTCCGCACAGGGGTGCATTGTGCTGACGCAGAACTCGCTTGAGATGTAGGTAGATTTAGGGTTGGTTCATGGAAAAATAACAGTTGCCCACATCATGCTCTTAGTTTCCAGACTGTAGCAGATGGACCCTAGAGCTGGTTTGACAGATAAGTAGTTGAGGTCTGTCAGAATTTGAGCTTATACTCTGAGCAGTGCAGGAGACATGAGACTGCTTCATGGACTCGTGATGGCTGTAGAAGCAGCACTGTGCAAATGTAGTTGTGCTCTGAATAAATTAAATAAACTCAGACAGACCCCCAAGATGCGTCGGCATTGAGCCAGTTCAGTTGTCTGCTTGTTTGATGCACAGCTTGGGCGACTGAGAGCTTGCTGTGCTTCTGCTGCATATGTTGATTATTAGTATGGTACATCATTTTTTTTTTTTCTGCTTTGTGTAATGAGGCCAAGTTATTCCATCATATCCAATTGGTCAGCATTCTTTTTACACAGGCTATTGGGGAGTGCTAGGTGAGGGAAATTAAGGAATCATGTACTGCTGTGACATGTCTAAAATGACTTGTGAGCAGGAAGGTGCTGTGTTGAGCTCTGGGAGAAGGAAATGACTTGGGGCAAAAGTTCCAGATATCATTTGGTCTAGTGCACTGCATGTAGTCTTGAATGTGTATTGTTCACCTCTAAGCATGTAAATGGCTATATTTTTGTTAAATAATGCCAACAGTGAAAACTAGTCTGTCCTTCTCAGTATTAAATATTTGCTCCCTTTGAGACCATCAGTGTTGAATGAGTTTCTTCACACAAAACCTAAACAGACAAATCTCTGCAGCTTCTGTAAATATGCTCTGTAAAGCAGATCAAATCCTGTAAAATAAAACGTGGTCACATCCAGCAACGAAGAATAGAGTTAAAATTATGACATCCTTGTCATTTAGCATTAATGGAAATTGCAGAGAAGACAAAAACTGTATCCTTGAGTGTTTGTATTACTGTCTGCTTTTTAAAAAAAGCAGAAATGTAAGTTTTCCTTATTTTTCAAAGGAGATTATGAAGTGAGCAGTTGTATGCCAGACCTTGAAAGCAGCACTGGAATTAAATAATTGATAATGGATGAGTTTGGAATAGAAATGTAGGTAGAAGTATGGCTGATACTGATGTAGAAGAAAGGTAACACTGGCTGTAAAGAAAATAAGTGATAGAGAAGGAGAGGCATAATTTTTGGAGTTGTGATGTTTAGTGATCTCTTGGAAACTCAGGAAATCAGTTTGTTGGTACAGCTGCAGTGCTTAGGGGCTAAACCATAAAGCTCACCTCTGTTGGAAAGAGTTGATAGCTCTTATCTTTTGTAATAGTGTATAATCTCTTGATAAGTGTTCCACTTAAAATGATTGAAGTGAAATTAATAGATAAAAATACAACGTTTTGAGGGGCTAAGCAATATGTATTGCATTTATGAACATTTCTTCCTCTAGTTCTAGCTTCTTCAGTTGTAAAGTCACTCCCAGTGACAGAGGCAAAAAATTCTTGTAATCATAATGCAGAAGTTTATAGAGCTTCTTTCTAAAGAAAGAAGTGCTCTTGAGTATGCTCAAAAAGCAGATTACTGTAAACATACTGATAAAGTAAAAGGCAGTGTTAACATTGTCTATATCTACTTAATCTGTAGCAGCCTATTACAAGGAGTCTTTAACTCATTTTGAAAACCAGTAATTTAAAATGTTGCATGTTGGCAAATCATCAAAATCAGTTTCCTGTTACGGGAATAGTTTTTCTTACATTTATCTTGTCTGAGGGAAAGCTTTCTTTCCATGAATTCTTTCATGCTTGAATGACATGATTCAGCTCCTGCTAAATCATGAACAATTCTATCAGACTAAAGCTTCACGAGTGGTAAAGTTATCTCCTGAAGCCTGCATGGCTTGCAAAGCCCTAGGTTTCAGTTCAGTAGCCCCTCTTGAGTACCTGGGCAGGGGTATAAGGAAGGCTTGAAAGATGCTATCAGTGTTCAGAGATGTGAAAATCTTTTTTTCTCTCAAATTTTTAAGATAAAACCATTGAGTGCCTCATTTAAACAATCTGGAAGTGACAAAGCAGGTAAGAGATTGTAGGACATAGATATAACTAATAGAAAGCTGTAGAAATAATTGACAACAAAGATGACTGTTTAATTTCAAGGAATACAATATTTGAGTGGAATTCTTTGTCACCACAAAACCACATAGAACTTCTATATTAATTTTTAATGCATCCTCCCAAATGTGATTTCTTTGTGGGTTTTCTTTGTCTTAACTGACTTCTGTGTCTTATGGGAAATATCTTTTTTGTCCATCTCATTTGGTTAATGGCACTAGAAAAAATTGTTCTAAACCTAGAACTTGGTTCTAAGCTTAATTTCCTAGCTGTACTCTAATAGAAATCATCTAGTTTGTCCTCAAGAATTGAAATTGTTGCAAATTGAGAACTCCTAAAATAGTTGGCTACGATTTTTTTTTTCCTCTCTCTAGACCTTTTTAGCAAGTTTCCATGATCATGGTGTTGTCCATAGTCCTGAGCAATAATTAAGTCTATGTTGAGAAGTTCACTGCTGTCTAACTTTATAAGTAATGTGTCAGATCATTCTCTCAGATCACTTTGTAGTAATGACAGGATTGTCACTTGACCATCACTAGAAATATTAACTCCCTGTCTCTTGGACCAGTCTTCAAGACAGATTATCAGTTCTGTTCATATACCACAAGTGTTTTCCACCTGAAATTATAATCTTGTGCAGCCATTACACTTTGGTGGTTCCTGCTTTGTTGTGACAAAACATCAAAACAGTTCAGAGACAAGTTTTTGTAACAATGTCCTATGTACTCTGTTAATGTAAATAATTGTAGTCCATTGAGACATTTCAGTGATTCTGGACTCTCTATACTGTGTGTTTTCCAAGGTCCTGGTTGCAGTGGTCTCATGAAAAGCATGTAGTCATATGTTTGCCAGTTGATATAAACTGGGTAGTTTTCAGTAAGTGACCTGTTGCTAATCTTTGTCTCTCCATGAGTTAGCCTGGGCTTAGTTCATGCTAACTATGAACTGGTAGAGTTGTATATGGCAGTCTAGGTTTTAACCTAAAGTTCTAATGTGTTGACAGTTTCAATAGTCTTTATTTTTACTTTGATTCATGATGAACTTGTTATGAAGAGTTGTGTAATCTCAGCTGGTTTCTATTAACCACCTTTCCCACACTTTATGGATTCTTGTAACTTGGCTTTCACTGTGTAACATGAACTGTTGCAGTCATTACTGAAAATAGAACTTGCTAATGGGACTTGCCTTGATTTTTCTGCCTTTTTTTTATTTATTTTACTCTTCACCTGAGCAAGAAGTGCTGGTAGTGTGATCCTGTGGGTTGGGATAAATGAATATGTGTAAGACCTCATAGCTTCTGTTGCTCTAGTAACTGGTTGATATTTTTAGACTACCACAGTGCATATAATTTGTGCTTTTTCTATTTAAAAAACCCAACAACACAACCCAGCTAACAAAACCCAAGAGCCTGGCAGAGTAAGCGCTGTTTTGGAGAAGCAATTTGCATCTTCAAAGTCTCAGTAGAACCATGGAATCTTCTTTTGTATATGTCATGACTTGAAATTTCCTAATTCCAAGATCTCAAAATAAATGAACACATTTGCATTGGAAAGAGTGAAATGTTTCATTTCAAATTAGAATCCGTGTATTCCAATACAAAATTAGACTATTTCAAAATATTTCAGGAAATGCAAAGAGAATAAACTGTTGAAATTCTTCTGCCTGCTGCTCCTCTTCCCACCCTGCTTTTTAGCTTGGATCAAAACTTGGAAATGAAACCTCCACTATGTACAGTGGTGGAATGTGGTTGGAAGTTTCTGTTGCCAGCTTTTAAAGTATGTATGTTCTGATGATTGCATCCCCCTAATATTAGTGCAGTGCATTTTTTACCAGTGAACAGCTTGTTAAAAATGATATACAATAGGATTTGCTATTGCTTTCAATGAATTTGTTTGAGCAGAAAACACTGAAATTTTACTCTATAAGGCCAGCAGGGGCTTTAGCTCTGACACCTGAAAACTCAGCTTTTTCATTTTTGTGGTATGGATTGTATACTTCTGTATTGGAGTACACTCAAAACAGACTCCTTCATCATTTGAGAGGGCTGGGGGTGAATGGCAAAGTATTCTCTCTGGAAGCTTCCATCTTTTGAAGTTCAATTTTGTAAGTCTCTGCCTGGATATGGTAACTGGGAAACGAGGGCACATTGCAAAATCTTGTCTCTAAATCATTAAAAGAAATATATAATCTCATTTGTTGGTTATGCAAGTGAAACAAAAGGCTGTAATGGTTTAAACTGATACACTATTTAATGAAGCGTTAGCAAGAAGTGTTAGCAGTATTTCTTTTTATAGTGATTGTTAATAACTGAAGTGTAAAGAGTTTGAGACTTGTAAAATCTAAGCATTATGCGTGTCTATATATATGTGCACACAGGAAACCTCGACCTGTCTCTCAGCTGGTTGCACAACAGGTTCCTCAGCAGTTCGTGCCCCCTACCCAATCAAAGAAAGAGAAAAAAGACAAAGTAGAAAAGGAAAAAAGTGAAAAGGAAACAACAAGCAAAAAGAACAGTCATAAGAAAACCAGGTAAAAATTTTAGAAACTTTTGCAGTATTAGTAAAACACAATTTAGAAAAGAAAACGAGAAAATATTCCATTGTTTTACAGCTTTGTAAGTGCTGTGGCAAACTCTTTCAACAATAAGGTTAAATGTGTGTGAAATTTCATTGGATTAGGATGCCTACTAAATGCAAAGAAAACCTGCAGTTTGTAATTTTGACCAGAAGATGGAGACCAGCTGAATATAAAGAAAAGGACTTGGCTATTTTTATTAATGGTTACAGATGTATTTCTCACACCATCCAAAACTGTAGATAGTCAAATGGAAAATACTAATGTCTGGAAAAGAGAGGGGACAGTAGTGACTAGTTTTTGTGTGGAATAATAAAGTGAACCAGTGACAGACTACAGAAGAGTGGTAATGTGGTTATTGCTATCCTTGCAGAACTGGAATAAACTTTGAAGGGCTGAACTAGGGTATAAATCAGTGTGACAGAATAAGGCACGTGTATTACGTAGTGATAAAAGTCTGTGTTACATCTGGGATGCTGACGGAAACCTTGGACTCTTAGAACTGAAAACATGAAATATTACAGTACAGACAAGCTGTTGTAAAAGCCTTATCCTGTCCAGGTGGAAGGAGGGTGCAAACTGCAAAACAAAAGCAGCAAGTTTAACCCCTAAATCATTATAGTCTATGCATAAAACTATTGTGGCAAGAATGCCAAATGGCGTGCCAAAAAAGTTGAGAAGTATGAGAGATGTGTAGCCTAATCAAATGTGGGAGGAGCTATTGATTTTTTTTTTAATTATTTTTTATTTTTTGTTCTTTTTATTGTTATTTTCATTTGCTGGAGGCACTCCAGAGTAGTCCAGCCAAGGAAGATCGTTTGGATTAGTTATGCAGAGAAGTAGCAGATGCTTCTCTTGTGCCTAAAATAGGATCATCAGGGTAAGAACCTGGAAGAGATTGAGAGTCCAGAAAGAGCAGTCATTAACAAAGTCATGGTTAGGATTAAGGACACTGAGATGTTCCTTCCTTTTTTTTTTCTTTAATGCTCAAATTTACTAGTTTGCCTTATGCAGCTGAAGTACTCCAGTTATGAAGTATTTGAAATTAACATCGTATTAACTAAGCTAGTTAAATATTATAAACTGAAGTATTGATGGGTGAATTGCAATAGGACATTAAAAATGCAAAGGTAAGGTAGGGAAGGAGGGAGAGCATTTGGCAGATAACTAAAATAAAAATCTTGGACTGAAATGCCAGTGTTGAGATTTGCATTAAGAATTGTTATTTGAAATAACTAAGCTACTTTTTTAATGCTTCGAACAGTTCAGTTTTTCACAGAATTGATTCACTAGGTAGGATAGAAAGCAATGCTTGATTAGTTTAAGCAGTTTTCTTCAGTGTCTTCTGGGAAAAGGATATTCTTTTCTCTTTGCCTTTAAACTTGTACATCATTCTGGAAAGGACCGTAAAAATCTGCATGCACACTCAAGATGATTAATAAGCGCCTGGCATGGCGCTTATGCAGGTTGATAATGCTGAGTTTTTCTCTCTCTTCCCATGTTTCAGGGTACCAGATTTTCAGTTTTCTCTTGAATTCTTCAGTCCTGCTACTTCAGCCTCAGGGGAACAAGATATGAAAGCCTACCTCTATTCTAGTGGAGGAAAGGTGTGAGGTGGTTCAGCTGAAGTGAATGGGAGCCAATTTTACTTCAAACAAAGTCAGATGATAGGGTAAAAGTCAGGGCTTTGCTGTTAGCACACCTGCTAACATGTGATGTCATTTATTGCAGCTTGAATCAGGTCAATGCATAAGTCTATGCTGTTCATAACAGCTTGTCTGGTGACAGTTTTTCGTGGTAGTCAAAGGAAAGTAATAAATTGGAAATACTTTATGCTTGTCACTAGCAAAAATATGATGGTAGAATATAAGTCAAAGTGTTCTTTGGTGCTCTTCATTGTGAAAAATCAAACGATTGAAAGATTAGATGAAGAGACTTAGGCTGTTAACACTGAGTGTAGCACTCAGCTCTGTGCATAATTTAAACCACATCATATGCCAGGATATACCAGAGTTGTGCTGTGAATGGAGTGCAGCTCAAATAATACATGAGCAGTCCTAGTGAAGTTTTGAAATGAAGTAATACTTGTTGCAAGTTAACACTGTGCTATTGAATTCAAAAATCAGAAACCAATGTCTTCATTACTGAACATCATTCTCTGTTTAGAATTGTTGCTTAAGGTCACTGCAGACATGGATGCTTCCTCTGGATCAAAATTAGAACTTTCTATAGCCATAATAAAGACAGGCTTAATTTTTAGAAGCCTTTAGGAAACTTCACATGTGCAACAAACACATGCATGTTGCTTCACAGTTACATTACTTATAAGGTCAACTTTATGATAACCTTAGGAGAAGGAAATGTGTTACTTTCAGCTACTTTAATGTAAAACATACTAGGCAACAGTCTACCATAAATGCTTGTGGTATGTTGTTTTCCTATGTATTACATGTTGCACATAGCAGTCTTATGTGCACATACATGTTCTCCAGAGCTCCTAATATGTAAGATAATAAAATGGGGTGTGTGCTTTTAATATGATTATTTGCTTTATTTAGGCCAAGATTGAAAAATGTGGATCGAAGTAGTGCTCAGCATTTGGAAGTTACCGTGGGAGATCTTACAGTCATAATTACAGACTTTAAGGAGAAAACTAAGTCACCACCTGCTTCCAGTGCTGCTTCTGCAGATCAACACAGTCAGAGTGGTTCTAGCTCTGACAACACAGAGAGGGGAATGTCCAGGTCATCCTCGCCCAGAGGAGAAGCGTCATCACTGAATGGGGAATCTCATTAAAGTTTTATTTCCTCAGTTTCTTTAGTCTCTTCCCTTCAAAACATGCAAATACATAACTGCTGTCACCTGTTACCACATTTTCATGACAGATTGTTCATGCACAATTGGTATGTTGACTGGAACATAATTTATGCAGTTTTAAATAAAGGAAAAAAAGTGCAGTGGTAGAAACAATAATTTAAATTCAATCTACAAATGCTTACAGACCATTTTCAGACCAACTTTTTAATCTTCATGTGTAAAGGTGCCATGAAAATGTGGTTTGAATGTTCATTATGCAGTGTTACTGGTAAGTCCATTTTCACTTTTAGTTTAGTGAATTCTAACACAACTCTTGGAGTCTTTACTATTGGCATGTACTGAATTTAAATTTTTATAACATAGTTCAAGCTGCCTAAATATGTATTATTTGAGAATTGTGAAACATAGTTATATGTATGCAAGTCAAAGATCAACTTAATCAACTATTGCTGCAACAGAATTTTCATAATAATTATCTTAAAAACACCTGCTGGTACTTGGTGTGGTTAAATAGGGAAAATGTTATTAAATGAAACGTTTGTATGAATTTTTGCCAATGTTTGACACGTTTTACTAGATTTACTGAATTATGTTGATGGGTTTACCAATATTTTTTCACACTTTAAAACACTTATTGTAATGTTTACAAGCAAAATAGAAAACACATTCTAAGCATTGATTTGTTAACCTTACAATTCAGGTAAAGTATGACATTGTCACTGTACACTGTTATTCTATGTTGTGTAACAAATATTGAACCTCAGATGACAGTGAATTTGACAAAACCCAACATTTGGAAATATGAAAGTTTGGAAAAGCTTTAAAATAGCAGAAGTGCATTTCTCATTTCTGCTTAGTGCTGTTTCCTTGGCCCAAATTTATCTAGTGTCACATAGTCACTTATTTCATCACACGAATATCAGGTGTTGCACAAGAATAAGGAAGTAACAGTACTATTAATTTTTTGTTCCTGAATCAATTTCTTTAATGTTGATTTGGCCTATTTGAATATATTATGTCATAAATCATATTAAAAAACTCAGTACCCTACTTTATGGCATAAGCTGCCAACTTTTATGCACTTAGCAATATACTGATGCAGAGCAGAACTATTTACAATCCCATCTGGTATTATGTAAAATTACTAATAAAATATTTTTGTGAATACAGATTTTGCATTTTTGTTTACAACCAATAAGTGTTTTGACACACACATGCAATCCATGTATAGATTTTAAATTATAGATTCAGGTTCAGTACAAATGTCCATTTAGCTCCTTTTAGTGAGGTAGGCTGCTTATTCCTATGATTCTTTTCTTTTTCATTCAAAGTAAATATATTTTTAAGCCCATGTAAAAGTTGGATAGACCTTATTGGTAGTGAATCCAGCCCCAGATTATTACCAGTATATATTACCAACGTATGATATGTCTCCTAACAGCTGAAGCAATGGATTTTTGTAGCCCCTGACAATTGTGATGTTTGGTGGTTTCTTGTAGTAATGTATTTTTCTGTTTTTAATGCAGTACTTCTACAGGCACAATGGTACTGTTCTATTTTGTAAGATGGTAGTTGTGAAATACAGTTAGTTGCATAAAATGGAAGTCTGATGTGATATCTGAGAACATACATACCTCATTCCTTGGTGTTGCTGTTTAAACTTTTTAGACATCAAATGTTAATTATAGGCTATTTCAGATGGATAACTACTGACCTGTTTATTATGTATCCTGCTTTATCTTACTAAATAGGATGTCTGTTCATTGCCATTACCTGGCCAAATCTTAGTATCTGTAAAACGATGCATTTTAAGGTTCTTAAATGTTTTGGGGGCTGGGCTGGTATGCAGAATAACATACACTAGTTTTTGAAAGAAAAAATACATGCTTCTGAACTTTATTTTTTTTTATATATTTTATTTTTAGGTGGGACTATTTGCAGAATATACTGATGTAATGGATTACAAGGGAGCTGAAACTGTTTAAAGTAAGCAGTTTAATGGTAGCAGATCTCAGTGAAAGATGTTTTATGAAATGTGTTTCTAATTTAAAATGTAATGAATGCTAACACATTTCAGAATTCCTTGCAAACAAATAATAACCTATTACCAGTAGTTCACTAAATGGGAAACGTATTTTCATTTAACTTTATGTGAATAAGCCACCCAGCACTGCCAACAAAGAGGGCTCTTTGTATCTTCAGAAACGAGCTGCCATTTGGTTTGGACGGAAGGGAGGATGGAGTGGACTTTACTATGATTCAGCTGTTTCCAGAGATTACTCTCAGAAATGTGGTATAAGTATGGTTATAATCAAAAAAGAATACAGAAAAGTCTCACTGTTCTTTATGGAATAAGGCATAGAAATGCAGTTTCTAATCAGAGATACAGTTGTAAAATCTCTAATTCTAGATCCTAGTCATCTAGGATCTAAAAACTGAGCTGTGGTGGTTTTGACTGAACTATTATGTTGTCAGCGTTTACATTGCAATGATGCCTGTTTTGGCATTTGTTAAGGTAATGTTTGCCTGTTTGTGATAAAGGGATGTGACAATACTGACAGCAGAGTAGATGAATTCTAAGTAGAATATGGCATTTGGCTCTGTTCATGTTATAATTTAAATGAACTTCACTTTCATAATTTCTAAATATTTTTGACTTGTAGTAATCCTAAAACCTTTTTCTAACTGTAAATATATTTAAAAGCATCCTTACTCCATTTATAAAAGGTGGAAATTTAATGTTGTAATGTGTTTTGATTAGCTATTTTTCTCTGTGACTGCTCTCTGCATAAGAACTGTTATTTGTTAAATCTGTACATGCACCAGTTTTCAACAGCCATACATCCTGGGTTGTTCATGAAGTGGTGACCCAACAAAGACAAGTGTGATAGTGTTTCATGTAAATGAGTTCCTTTATGTGCTGATTGATTGTCTGGTTTCAGAAAGGAAAAAGGGGGAGAGATGAAGGAAAATCAAGTATAAATAGTTCATTGATACAGTGTACAATAATACAGTCTCTTATATTCCTGACTTTGCCGCTAATTACAGGTGGTGTAAGGAAGAGAACAAATACACAGCTGCAGACTGTGATCTACTTTTTTTTCTGAATTTAAGTTTGCATATTGGAGATAAACAAAAATTGTTCTACTTAGTAGCAGGTTAAATTATGCCATAGAAGATCATAAATAACAGAAATGGTAGTAAAAAATCCCAGCGTTAAAAATGTTAAAATTCGTGATATTAAAAGTCTTGAGATTCCGACTGAAATTTTAACCTATTACATATTTCTCTATTTGTTTTGGGGCATAAATTACAGAATCTCAAAAATGGCATGATTTTATAATTTGTGCACTTTACTCTTTTTTTAACATTATGGATAGCACATTTTTAGGTAGCTGTGAGAGAGAATTCTTTTTATAATTTCTTTCCACCAGTTCACTGTAGTGTTCAGGTAGGTCTTCTAAATTTGGAACGAGTGTATGGCTCTGCATCTTAAATTCTTTAATTTTCCTCTTTTCTGTCTCAAAAACCTGACAGCTTCCCACATTATGCTAATTGATAAAACTTTTGTTATACAGGATGGATTCAGCATGGAACTGTCTTTTGTATACTTTTTATGTACATCCAGGGTTCTTTAACTGTATCTGCTTGGGTTTTTTTCTGTCACATGCCTTTATTTGACCCTGCTCCCTGCTAGGCAGTCCTGGTACACTTCATTTGAAATATCAGAAACTATATGGAGATAGAAATACTATTTAATTTAATTTCTCCAAAGGCAGCAGCAAGTGATGTACTTGTAAGTTTGGCCTGTGCGTACTCAGGAATAAGATAAAAAAGTTAATGGTGGTTTTGGCTAGTGGACCAGTCAAATATGCTATTTTGAGAATGCCTATTTCTCTGTTAAGAGTTGAGGTGCTGGAAATGCACTTTGAGCCTTTGAAGGTTTTTCTTAGTTGAAATTATGCCCTGACTTAATGTCAGCCTCTTTGAAAAGGTGTAACTTCAGAAACTAGCAACAGCTGTACAGTAAAATCAGGCAAACTGAGGAAGCTCAGCTGGTTTTCTTTTGTACTGTTAAAGTTTTAGTATGAGAAACTGTTTAAAGAGATTTGTCTAAGGCAACAAACAGATATTGTGCTTAGTTTGACTAAGAAGGACCCATGTTTTAATAAGAATTAACAGTATTTAACTACTGAATTAAAATTGGAAAAGTACTTCAAGTTAATTACAAATCAGTGCTTAACAGATACTGTAGACACTTGTCTAGAATGGAGTAAATGGTGCAACAGCAATAGGTAGCTGCACATTTCCTAGAAAATGTTGTTACCCAATGGCAAGTGATGTTTAAGTGACATTCTTGAGGCATTACAGAAGAATATTGTGATATGCTTATGAACAAGGCCTAGGAGTCCGGGTGTCCTCCCCCCCGGCCTAAATTATACCATTTAATTCAAACAGTGAAAGAAAATGGAGCAAACATACAAATTCCTTTCAGATCCTAGCTAGTAGTGCAGGAGCTGTTTACAGCTTCTATTTAATTGTAGCAATGAAAATTAATTAAAATGAGCCACCACTGTACAATGCTTCATCCCTCAGGGGACATTTGCGATCTTATCTTGCCCTTTTTGTCATGAGAAACAGAGAAAAGTAATCTGAAAGACCTTGCTCTTCCATTGACAAAGGATTTTAAGAGCAGACAGTTTAACGTGCACTGGAAGTTTTAACTGTATTTCTAAGGGGTTAAACATGGAAGATGAAAGGCAAAATCATATTCCATAGCTCAAATGAATATTACTAAGAATGGTCAAAAGAGATTGATGCACCATGTGGCATTTCTAAAACACAGTGGTAACATTGTCTAATCAGTCCTTGTCTTAAAATGACATTTTTAAAGAGAAAATCACCACCAGAAAAAACAGTGTTCCAGTAACAATGATTTAAAGAATAGTTCCAAAATGTGAATTCCTCTGTGGAAAGGATGGCTTATCTTGACAGAGGTAGGAATGTCTGAGCAAGAAGCCCTTCAGGAGTACATTTTCAGGATCTAATCCACCTGGAAAAGTGTAATCTTTAATTGCACTGTTCTCTGTTTATAAATACTGATCTTAGTCAAAGCGGTTGCAAAGTGAAGCAGCTCTGGTAAACGTTAAGATTTGAATAACTGCAGCTTTAGACCACTGGTGCTCTAATTTACACTGGAGTTATTGAGAAGACAGCTGAGGAAAAGAGAGGTGTGGTTTTTTTTTTTTATTTATTTTTATAACCTGCTAACCATGTGCTCATAATTTTCCTCTATGAAGTAAAAGTATGCAGAAAAAGGAACTATTTGTAACCAGAGCTAATGAAATTTGGCTCTTTACCCACTTTCCAAGCTCACTGGATTCTACAAACTACAAATTTTCTTTGGTTCAAAGGCTGCCATGGGTACTTTGTCACTAGAAAAGGATGGAGTTCAGTGACTTGGCATCTGTTAGTTAAGACAATTGAGTGGTCAGGGCAATTCTGCTTTCTGAATGCCCACTTGGGAATACAGAGATCTAATTTGCATCTAATATATATCTACCATCCACAAATAATCTGTTTCAAGCTGATCCTTCTTTGCACAGAATAAATCAAAATGCTTCAATGCCAAGCCCAGTTCCTGACAGCACAGATCTCTGGGCAAGAAAATCTGCCATCTGACTGATCATGGCTTACTGTAACAGCCTTCAGCTGAAGCTGAATTAACTCATGTTAATCTAAGTAGGGGAAATCTCTTACAGTTACATGTATTCATTGAGTATCACTACTCCCCCCTGTGAAGGAAACACATTCTGATTCCTTCTTTCTTTTCTCTTTTGTTCTCTTAAAGTAAATCTATAGTTTAGGTGGATGTAGTGAGTTGGAAATAGTTTATTATGCCTGCTTTTCTAAGTGGGGAATTTGACTACTATTCCCAGTCCTTCAACTCTGTCTTGATTTCTGTAACACCAACAATAGTATGTGGAGCTGAGAGGTCATTATCAATTTTGTCAACAATTTCTCTTTCCGTAGAATTGATTTACTGAATGGATTCTTGCAGAGGAAACTTACTTATACTGATCCTGCACCATTCAAGCACTCTGGCTGAGGTTGCTGGCATTCTGGGATGCCAGTTTCTGGTCTTCATATCTGCATTGCTGCAAGTGGTCTGATTCTATTGTTGGGAGGCTTCCAAATGTGGAAAATGAGCAAATTGCTTTCCAGCTGATGGAGGCATAATGTTGCCAAGTAACTTGCAGTACCTGGAGGCTTTTTGAAAGGTGCAAGAAAATGCTCTTGGTGCCAGCTGGAGAAGGATGTCTGAGGAGCAAGCACAGATACCGAGTGTTTTCTCAGCTTTCCCACAGAAATTCCGAGTAGGCAGCTTCTGTTTCTAAAATGTCAAACACCTTCAAAAACCCTCAGTCCAACAAAAAGAGGATAAGGGGGAAAAGGAGGGAAGAACAAAGAAAACGTATTTTTTGAGAATAATACCTAGAAAAGCCACTATATAACGGCTTCTTTGTGTGTTTAGTATTCCTTTCTCTGTGTACTGTATTGGAAGTAGGCAGCATCCAGTGCTTACAGATGTATGTTGCTTTAATCCTTAATGCGTGTTGGTTCAGTGACTCTCGGTCTAAAGATAGAGGTAGGGTTTGTGAATTTAATAGTAAATACCATGACCATTTCATTCTTGGATATAGGTCATTTATTGAAAAGGGTAGAAGTTTTGATTAAAGAGCTAGTCAGGAACAAAATAAATTCCTCTTTTACAGTTAGACACTACCCAGTTTTAAGAGGTTTAATTCCTGAATTACTAGAAAAAGGATAGCTTTATGTTGAAAGGGTAATAAGAACCCAGACTGGAATGGATGTGGCTTCTGAAGAGTTTTGTGGCCAGTAGTTCATATGGCTGTTTTCAGTGATTATTCCACACCTTAACCCATTAATCTTGAAGCGTTGGTAGGGCATCCTCACAAACAAGTCAAAACTATCAACAGCACTGTCAGATGCTCTTAAAACTTACTAAGTGCCTTATACAGAGCATCAGTGAGGCAATGGTTCATTTGAATGGAAGTTTGATAGAAGATTTGTTCCTCTGAATGGAGTCACAGATGATCAGTTGTAACCAAGGTGATGTTCTTGGTTATAACATGCTAGAATCTTACATTTTGTTGCTGATACAAGTACCTAATAAAAAACAGTTCAGAAATCTCTGAGGCTTTCAGTTTGTAAAACATGCATTCTTTGGAGGCGTTTTTTTCCTTCTATTCGGGTGTGATAGCCTACTGGAATAACACAGAAGTCAGTGAAACTTCTGAGTATTTCTGGATGCTTTCCCACTTCTCAGTTTCTCAGTGAAGGACAGTATTACCTTTCTTGGGAAGGGGTGCATAAGTTGGTTTTATTCATAGGGTTTATGTTTATCCAACAGTACTTTTAAAGGATTTTATTGTCAGAAAAAGGGCTTGTTATTGTGAAAATAAAAATCTTACCTGCCAGGTGTCTTCCCCAAAATGAGTAAGTGCCTTTTCTGTTCTGACTCTTAGAAGTATTTACTTTGTCAGATTGAATCTGAATGTTCTGGATAAACCAACTGTAAAGTACTGAGTGTTACAAATGGCTTGAAATCCTTTCACTGAAAGAACGAGAGACAGAATGTAAGCCACTTGAATGATTCTGAGAGCTGATGTTATCAGAAGTGTATAGCTGCTCTGAGTAGTATACTTCTAAGAACA